CTGGGTATTGAACCCGGGTCGGCCACATGCAAGGCAAACATCTGTCCACTGTACTAACACTCTGGTCCCATAAGGTGCATAATTTTTTCTAAGGCACTCCTCTTTAGCGGGTGATATGCTTGTGGGGGGTGTCTCCCATGGTGGTGTGTGGATGACCTTTCACAAGAAGGTTTGTCCTTGTTACTGTAGGGTGTCTAAGAGGGTCTCTATACTGTGCATTTAAATTTTTATTTATTTATTTATTTATTTATTTTTGCTTTTTGGGTCACACCTGGCGATGCACAGGGGTTACTCCTGGCTCTGCACTCAGGAATTACCCCTGGTGGTGCTTAGGGGACCATGTGGGATGCTGGGAATAGAACCTGGGTTGACCGTGTGCAAGGCAAACACCCTACCCACTGTGCTATCGCTCCAGCCCAATTTTTTTTATTTTTAAAATTTATTTATTTATTTATTTATTGACTTTTGGGGTCACACCTGGCAATGCTCAGGGGTTACTCCTGGATCTGCACTCAGGAATTACTCCTGGCAGTGCTCGGGAGACCATATGGGATAGGGGATCAAACCCGGTGTCTGCGTGCAAGGCAAATGTCCTACCCACTGCACTATCATTCCTGTTCCTAAATTTTTTATAAAACATTTTTTGGTTTTGAGCCACCCCTGGTGGTACTCAGGGCTTGCTTCTGACTCTTCACGCAGGGATCACTCCTGGAGGTGCTCAGAGTACCACATGGGGTGCAAGGCAAGTGTCCCAACGCTGTGCTATCTCTCCAGCCCCTATGCTGCACATCTTTTCTGTCAAGCTCTTGGCGGGAGTTCCTGCCACATGTTCTTGGGATAAAATGGGGACTCTGATCTGGGGTCAGTCTTGGGGGCCTCTGTTTCTCACAAAGACACTTTGATCCCCTTTAGCTTCCTGGGCCACTGTGAGTTTGGTGTTCCTGTCTCTGGAAAGCCCTGTCCTGTCTTGTTCTGGCCTCTGTGGAGGGTCACGCCACATGCGAGCCTCCTGATTCTCATAGGGCCACATCTCCTGGCTGGTTTGTGAGAACACAGACCCCACTTCCAAGTCAGGGTCTGGGCCTGTGTTTGCCAGTGGTCCCCCCCACCCCCGCCCAGAGTGCTCTCCACGGCCCCCTTAGTCTCCCTCTGTTTCTAGCACCCAAGCATGATGTTTGTCCATAGACAATGAGACTCAATCGTTCTGTTTTATCTGCCTGTGTTTGGGTGTGTTCAGCCTGTCTGGTTTCTGGACCTCAGTCTCTCTGGGACTAAAAGGGTGGTGAGAATCACATTTCTCCATAGCTCTGTTGGGGCTTGGGGTGCTCCAGGAGTCCCTCCATAGGGCAGCAGACCCTGGGATCCCTGGACTGCCTGGTAGGCCTGGAGACAGCTCCGTCCTGACTCCTGCCTGCACCGTGCGGCCTGTGGGGGAAACAGAGCTCCTTGTGCCTTCAGAGTGGACCATTCCCAGACTAAGGCCCCCCCCCCCCCCCAGAGAGCTCAGAAGCATCCCTCGATGATGTGGGGGAGCATGAACCTATAGCTGCTCTGCTCCCAGATCACCTCTGTGGCTGCAGACCTGGCCTGGTAGAAAAAGGGGTGCGGAACCGAGGGGAAGGGAAGGGGGCTCTTTCTTATCTGAGGCAGGAGCCTCAAATTACTGAAGGCACACAGGGGAGTGAGACCCCACTGAAGGGCCCTTGTTTGGGGTTCCCCAGAACTGCTCAGGGTGGAAGGAGGCCCCCTCCCCAGGGCTCCTGGGGGTGGGAAAGGAGGTGGGAGAAGGTGCCAGCCACAGCTAACGAACCCGAGGAAGCCGGGCCCGAGAGCCCCTGACCCACTCTCTCATCTCACTGGTCCCCCTCTTCTTATCACTTAGGAGAGACTCGGCTTCGTTCCAGACCAGCAGCCTAGAGCAGTGGGCTGGAGAGAAGAGACGCCGCTGAGCTCCAGCAGCCCAGCGGCGGAAGGGAAAGTGGGTGATAAATTTAAATAACCAGCTTGACTTGGCAGCTTGCTGAGTTGTGAGGCAGTGAAATTAAAATCTCGGCAGAACTTGCAAACACCACCCAGAAGAATCCGTCTCTCTCCTTGGTTCCATGATGGCAGGTGGGGAGGAGGTGCTGTGGGCCGGAGCCCCGAGCCTGTGGTGGCCACCCTAGCTTGCACTGTGATTAGTCGTGTCCTGGCCTACTGGGTCCCTTCCTCCCCACTACACAATAGTCCAGGCGGCGCTCTCCTCTCAGTCCTGACCTTGTGGAACAGCTGCATCAAGTGGCTGGTGAAGTCTGAAATCAGCCTCCAGTGCCAGGAGGTGGCAGGAATATCAATAAGTTTGGGCTGGGCATTCCAGGCCCGCTCTTAGGGCTCATGGGGTAGGCTTTAAGCCTTAGCCACCTGTCCTGGTACAAGAAGGTGAGCTGGGGGCTGCAGAGAGTTGCCTGTACACCTTGGTATGCCTGTGCCCAGCAGTGGGCACAGGACAGCTCCAATAGTCGCCCCTTCATCATTGTCTGGCCAGAGTCACCCACTAGAAAGAACTCCTTTTTCTTCATTAACCACCAAAGCCCCTCATAGTCTCTCCCATAGGAACTTTTTAAGGATCTTGAAGGGAAATTTCTACAGTTGTACTGGAAGTCTCTCTCCAGTACCAGGCATGCTTGGAGCCCAGTTCTCACAGATGCCAACATCTTTCTAGAACTCACCCCAAGTCCACCACTCTTGGGTCTGTCACAGCATCCTGCTCACTTGCTTCCCAACCAAGTCCCTACCCAAAGGCCACCCCATTCTGGAGCCAGGCCTAGAATGGCCGATGGGATCTCTGGGCCTACCCCTGTTTCTCACCTTGATGGTACCTCTAGCAAATTCTGTTTGTCCTCACAATAAACACATCGTGAATCATTCATCTTTAATAGATTATGCAAATTAGGAGGACATAAAATCAACAAAGATCAATAACTGCAGTCGTTTAATTGCCAGCAAAAACATTTTAAGAATGAGCATAATCTGCGGCCCTTTCTCGGGTAATGGCGCCATTAATCCACACAGTGGATCCTGGCCTAAGAGTAGAAACATCGTCCCCTGCCCCTCAGCCCCCCTCCCATCCCCCACCTCTCCACACACTTCTCTCTTTTTGGTAATTTCCAGTTTCTGAGCGAGTTTCCCCGTCATTACCACTGGTGAACAGCTCCGAATGTTAATGGTTCTGCTTTTGTTACTCCTCGCTTGATTGAAATGTCGCATACAGATTGAGATGTTAGTGCTAACTTGCCACCTGGGAATGTCAAGCTGGGTCTGAAATGAACTTTTCTCACACTTGGATCCAGATGGATCAGCCGGAGATGTTCCCAGGCTGAGCTGGGACCGTTCCAGGGCCATGGGGGGGAGCGGGTGGGGGGTGGTGCTCAAGGTGGAGACACTTTTCCACACCAACCCAAGTTCTCTGCAGCCGGAAGCCTACCCCGAAGATCTGTCTCTGCACCCCAGGAAGTCTCTGCCTTCCAGACTGAGGCCAGCGCACAGGGACACATAGCTAGAGAATTCTGGGCTCTCATTCTCCAGTGACCTGGTGTGAGCGACCCCTGGGAAGTGATCACTGGAATGCCCAGCAGATCAGGAGGAAGGAGCCTGGTTCCGGCCATCTGCGTTGGGACAAGATTACTCAACCGAGTGATGAAGTCGGGCTAACGTCAATGGCCAGTTGGTAACAGGCTACATCCTGATGCGCCTAGCCTGGCAAAAGTTGCCAGACTCCCAGATCACAACCAGTTCTTCCAATCTTGCTGGCACTCAACCCCTGGTGGCCAAGCCAGAGTTCTCAGTTCTGTCCAGACTGAAAATAGTTGTGCCAGGAGACCCCCAGAGGAGAACTTGTGAAACTCATGGAAAATAAGGCCCTCGAGTCGGCACGTGGAGGCTTGGGGTGCCCATCAGACCCAACTGGGGCTCAGATCTGCAGCGAGACAGAACCACGGCCCTGTGCCACGGTGAGCCAGGCTTGCCCCTCTGCTGCCGGGTCCCCAGGCCACCCCCTGCGGCCCTCACTCGGCAGGTAACGCCTCAGTGTCTCCCAATCCCCACTGAGCCCCTTCTCCATCATTCTGTCTCCCAAGGAACAAACGGCACATTGGCTTTAGTGTCTCCAGAATAATTAGGTGAATTTTAATAACACCTCAATGTGTGTCTCTCCCACTTGGGCACTTCCCTGGCCCGGAAACCCTTCCGCAGTGCCAGGCGCCTTCCAGAGCCTGCAGCGCTGCTGCCTGGAGCGCCGTCAGCCTGCCGGGCCCTGCGCACTGCACGTCGGCCTCCTTCCACTCCAGCTGCCCCTGATGCCTGGAGTTGGGCCCTCTCATCCCGCGCCCCCCCACCCCCTGCCACTCTACTACAGACAGGTTTGGTCCCCAGCCTTGGAGGGAAGGCTGGTCTCAGGTGACTTCTTTGGGAAGCAGTGGGAGGAATAATTGGGCTTAGCTACAATCACAGCACTGGCTGCCCAAGAGAGGAGACCTGCCCTCCTTGAAACTGTGGGGACACAGATGTGCGTGGCTCAGGACCACGCTCCCTGTGGGGCCAGACCAGCGGTCCACTCTGCCACAAAAGGCGCCTAACTCTGGGCACTGTGGTGGAGGCAAGAAAAATGTCGGGGTGAGGTGGAGAGGGAGGAGAGCAAGACGGGGAGAAGATGAGAAGGGGCAGGAAGAGAGCTGGGAGAGGAACCGGGAGAGGCCAGGGGCAGGGCGAAAGGAGCGGTCAGTAGCCTTCTGACTTGACCTTTCTAGAAGGAACCTTGATCACCTATTTTTATTTTTTTTTCCCCTCTCTGCCATCTGCACATCTGTTCAGGAAGCACCCCATCTCAGTCTCAGGAGGGTCACCGGCTCTGCAAATATCACGCCAGGGGGCCCACTTGTCACACCAGCGGCCCAGATGGCCTGGGCCTGGACCGAGGCCCTCCCACCGAAAGCAGTGCTCCACCCTCCCAGAAGCCCCCTTACCGGTCACCACGGGGTACGTCTGCGCGCCTGACACGTTGCTGCCCAGCTCGGGGTTGGTGGAGGCAGATAGACTCGACTTGACTTCATCAAGCCCAGGGGTCAGGGCCGGGAGAGAGTACTCATTCCCCTGGGGGAGAGAAAGGCGACAGCTCTTGACTGACGCACACGCCAGAGAAAGGGTCCAGGCGCCCTGTGCAGATGGGGAGGAGGAACAGGGCGCCCTCCCAGATGGGGTGGCAGGAGACGGGAGGCAGAAGAGGAGGGGCCGGCGGGCGGGGGTGGGGGAGCTGCCGTGCACCCGGTGGGGGCGGGGCCCGGCCTGGAGGGAGGGTGAAGTTGGAGGTGCGGCCTGCGGGTGGTTAGGGCGGGTGATTCCCGCGCCCTTAAACTGTGGGCAGCATCTCTGCCCTAGGAAACCCACAGGCACAGAGAGCAGTGGGGATCCCCTGCGGAGAGGTACGGCGTGCGGCCGGAGTCCGCTGGAAGGGAAGGGGTGCGCCCCGACGTGACGTCAGAGGCCAGAGCTCGGGGAGGGCCCGCTGGGGCCTGCAGCCTGGCACGGCTGGGCCTGCTTCTCGGGTGCTGGCGCCCCCTTTTTAAAAAATAAACAAAGACAGCCCCGTGGGTCCCTCGCTCTCTGCCTGTGCACTGAGGTATGAAATTGGGGAGGGGGAGAGTCCACATGGCTAACAGAAGGGTGGGAGGGGGCCCGTCGTGGAGTCTGAAAGGGTGTCCTGCCCGAAACACCCGGGTAATTGCCTTTTTATTGCAGCCACCGCCAGGCCAGACCCCAGAGCCGGGCAGCCCGGGAGCCCCGCACAAAGCAGGAAAAGTTGCTCTGATTAATATTACGTTAAATTAAAACTGATTTTCTGCTCTTTCGGGTCCGTTTTTTTCCCCTTCCGCTTCCTGGCCCCCCCAGGGCCCCCTCCCCGCCCTGGCTGGACGGGATTGCCTCGTCATTTCCAATTCCTTCTCGTATTGATCTTCCTGTAGAAATCAGTTTTGTAATTAGCTGCAAATTAGGCCTTCTACTGGGGGTGAAGCTGCCCCCTGATTTATCACCAGAGTAATTCGCTGTGATCGGAGAGAAATTAAAATGAACTCAATTAGGCTTCGGATTTGCTTTATGGGCCCTGCTCCGAGTTTCAGGGGGAAAAATGACTGTGCTGGTGTTTAATAGTCTAATGAAAGTAAATAAAGGTTATTCATTGTAATACAGCCGGGGACGCGGGGAGGGTGCTCCGCGCCGCCCGCCTGGGCCGGCTCCTCCTTTGTTGGTTTATGGCTCAGGGCACCTTAAAAAGACTTTTGATTTTTGTTTTATGAAGACAAACAGCTTATGGGATAAAAGGACGGGCGGGGAGAACGGCTAGTGGCTGGGAGCCGCTGGAGTCGGGGGCTGGGGCCGCGCCAGGCCGCCAGGCGCGCGCGTGCGTGTGCGGGAGCGCGCAGGCTGCGGGGCTGCGCGCTGGGCCTGGGGATGTGACGTGTGCCTGAGGACCCACCCGGGCTGCAAGCGCAGGGATGGCGGTGCGGGGACATCCCGACCTACTGTCTGCGCTGGAGTCCTGTGGGCTTGCAGTGTGTGTTGGGGGGGAGTGTGTGTAAACAGGTGTCCCCCACCCCGGGATATCATGGGTTGGGGGCAGGAGGCAGCCCGAGGGGGCTCTCCTGGCATGAAGATGGAGAGGCAGCAAAGACTGGCACAGACTTCTGGCATGACCCTGGGGGCATTCTTGAATCCTGGATGCTGAAAGTGGGGGCTGGAAGAGACCCATTATCCTCTCAGCCACACCCTCTGCTTTACCGATGGGGAGACTGAGGCTCTGAAGGGGGAGAAGACTCACCCCATGGCACTCAAGAGCCAGGACTCATTTTCAGTTGCCACGGCCCACAGTAAATTTCCCTCACTCTCCCATAATGTGCTCATGTGAATATGTCCATGCACACATGCATACACACATACACAGAGGCACACATGCCTGTATGCATGCACACATACACAACACACACAATGGCCCTGCAATGCAGTGTACACCCCCTTCTCCCCAGGCTCGCTCTGGCCAGCTCCTTCCCTGGGGCCTGCAGGCGGCCACTCCTCACCTGTTCTGATTTGATGTGCTCTGAGGCCTGGAAGACGTCGGGATAGGAAGGACGCTCGAAGACTCGGTCCAGAGCTTCCAGCTGCTGCTGGGTGAAGGTGTCAGCACGCAAGTGCTTCCGCAAACTGTCCACGCTGCTCTGGGAGTCTCCGTTGGGCACTGAGCCCTCAGATACATCTGGGGGACACACGAACACTCGAGGCATCAGCACAGGCAGCAGACCCACAGAGGAATGGAAAAGGGGAGCTCTGGAGGGCACCTGGGGGTTGGTACCCTTTATTCCCAGCATCTAGGCTGGAGGAGGGGGTAGGCGGACTTGCAAAGGTGATGGGGTGGGGGCAATCCCAGACTTTCTCCCCTGGGGAGTCTCCCCGGAACCCCTCCGCCCCCTCCTCCCTGTGTCAGATTCAGGGAGCAGTTGGGTGTCGCAGGCAGCCTGTGGAGAATTGAACCCGACGCTGAGATGAGTTTCAGTCCCACTCACTCCAAGAGTGGAAAATCATCAAATCTCTGAGGCTGAGTGTAACGCACAGACTGGTGAAGTAATTAACTCCCTCAGCGAGGCGGGGGCTCTGCGAGGCAGGATGGGGAGCACCGGGGCCGAGGGGTGCCAGCAGGCAGCAAAGGCCACTAAAGGCCCCGCTTAGCCCCTACCCTACCCTACTCTCTGCCAAGGCCCCATCACTGGCCCTGCCTATCCCGGGGGTCTCCCAGGGCACCCAGACCCTCTGTGAAGGAAAGGTGGGGGTCTCAAACATATGCCCACCTCCCATCCTGCCCAGGCTTCCCCACACTGCTGCCCATGCCCTCCTGCCCAGTCCCAGAGTGGACGGGGAGCAAAGCAGCTTCTCTGTCACCTCACTCTGAACTCCCTTGGCCCAATCTGGGGTCACCCCCACCAACCACAACCCAGCCTGGGTTTCCTTTAGCCTGAGACCATCTGGGGAGCCTTGGGCCTGGGGCCAGCCCAGGCTGGAGGCCCCAGGGTGTTCCTTTGGGACTGTTATATATATCAGTTTATAGGTGATTATACGATATGATATAATCAATATTGCATTATATACAGTAACGCTGTACAGTATCATTCGGGAGACCATAGAAAATATTACATATTGATTAACCTCAGCCTGCAGCTGGCTGCTCCTGCTGGCCTCCCAGACAGAGCGCGGGGCCTGCTCTCCAAACGGGACCTCCTGTCTTCCCTCCAGCAGGATGGGAAAGTGTGAGCATGATGTATGTGTGTGTGTGTGTGTGTGTGTGTGTGTGTGTGTGTGTGTGTGCAAGAGAGAGAGAGAGAAGGAGGGAGGGAGGGAGAGAAGGAAAGAGAAAGAGGGAGAGAGAGATGAAGAGATAGAAGTGAGACAGAGGGGGAAAGAGAGAGGGAGAGAGATAAGAGAGATAGAGGAGGGGGGGAGGATGGGGGCAGAGGTAAAAACCAGGATTACATTTGAGGCAGACAACACATACGCACACAGGCACTGCCAACTATGTGCCTAGTTCCTATAGACACCAAATTGGGCTGCTGTTTTTCTGTATAGCCTCTGGAGGGTATATGAGGTTCTCTTTATAAATTAGGATGAGGCTGTATTTTTCTTTTCTGTGAGTATTTTGTTTATAGTTGCACTTGTACAAGTATGGAGACAAATAAATGTCTGTGACTGTATAAGTGACTGAGAGACCCTTTCTTAAAAGATGCACGCATGTGTGTGTCTGTGTGCATGTATGTGAGCATGCATCATGCATGTGTGCGTGCATGGGCATGTGTGTGAGCGTGCATGCCCGTGGGTGTGCGTATGCATATGTGAATGTGCGCATGTTAGTGTGCATGTGTACACATGTGAGTGTGTGTGCATGTGTGTGAGTGTGTATGTGTGTGTGTGTGTGTGTGTGTGTGCTCAAAGCATGAGCCCCTGCCCCAACACCGCTGCTGGGCCTGCTTCTCTCTCATGGATATGCCGCTGTTCCTGTCCTATCTATCCCTTTGTAACTGTTTGCGAGCTGCATTGTGTCCGATTCTCTCTTGCCGGAGTCCTGCCTTTTTGGAAAGCCCTGCCGCCAGGGTCGAGGGAGGCAGTGTCTTTGTGTGTGATTATTGCAATGTCACCATGTAAATAAATCCTGGGGAGCAGAGTGTGTGTCTGCCTGTGAGCACGTGCTCCCACATAACAGGCACGGGTGTGCGCATTGTGTGGTAGCCGTATACCATGCCTCTGCAGATTTGTGTATATGTCTGTGTGTGTGTCTGGGCTCAGCCTCTGTGCGTGTGTGTGCGTGTGTGTGTGTGTGTGTGTGTGTGTGTATGTGTGTAGGGGCTGAACTGAAGCTTTGTCCTCAGGTCACTGGCTGGAGGAGTCTCTTTTCCTTCATTTATTCAGGGGCCCTTCAGATCTTGACAAATCTGTCACTCTAAATTTGCGAGAGATTATGGTGCTCTCTCCCCAGCCCGCAGAGAGGTGATATATGATATCTGCTGCCCCTATTGATTGCCTGATCTGGTGGCAGAGGCCGGCGAAATGAACTTGAAATGAACATCATGCCTCAACTCATTGTGCGTATAATACACTACTTAATCCCACATTTTTCAGCCGCTATGGAATTCAATTGATCAATCATGTTCCACTGATAGTACTGTTTTAGGGGTTATTGCTGCTCCCTCCACTCACTGACCTTTTTATTTATTTATTTTTTTTGTACACTCAGGCCCGGGTGATAAGACGGGTTACAGAGGCAGCGATGGCAGGAAGGGGAGGGTGGGGAGGGAGGGAAGGAAGGGGCTGCCACCTTCAGAGGGGGCAGGGGGAGGCGGGGCAAGGCAAGCAGGGGAGGGGAGCCAGGGAAGGAAGGTGCTTAGAGGCTCAGGAAAGCAAAATAGGGTTATGCAAGCAGGCAAGGACCCCCTTAAAGAGGCTGCTGGAGGAACCGCTCCAAGCAGAAGGCAGGTGATGAGTGGGAATAGGGCAGGAGAGCGATGAATGGAGCAGAAAGTTTTAGGGTGCACAGGGGAGAGAGGGAGAGACTTTAGGGGAAAATACTAAGGGGCTGGGGGGGCAGTGCCCTTGAATGAACCATGAGACCCACAGGCTCTCTCCAGAGGGGCTGGCACCCTTTCTTAGCTGGTAAAAGGGAGGAGTACAAGGCAAGGGGCAGGGACAGGAAGCAGAGAGAGAAAGAGGTGGGGAGAAGACTGTCTGGGTCTCAGATCCCAGGAGGAGATGCTCAGGGAAGGAGGAATCCCAGAGGCAGAGCAGAAAGAGGGAGAGGAAGTGAGGGGAGACCCCTTACCTACCAGGAACCCCCGCAGCCTAGCTGGCACCAGGAGTAAACCTGCCAACTCTACCTGCAGGACCTCCTCGGGGAAGCCCGGCTCGCCAGCTAAGGAGGGGGACACAGGGAAGGTAAAAAGGAAGTGGCTCAGCGCTGGCCATTGCGAGGGAGCTGTCCTGGGAGGGTGCAGAGACAGTGCAGGTGGGACCACCCGAGGGTAGACTCAGAGGAGACAGCAGGGAGAGGGGAACGATGGGTCTGGGCTGCGAGCCCAGTGCCCAGCCCCAGACTGCAGGGCGCTGGCAGAGCGTGACTGAAGCAGGGGAGGCAGGGGAGGATGCAGATGTAGGCTGCGGGGCGGGGGGTGGGGGGGAGGGAGGGATGCAGGAAAGAAAAAGATGCCACTAGGTAGATGTATCCCCCTGTCAGGGCGTCAAGCCAGGACCGTGACTGGAGTGTTACAGGGCTGGTGAGTAGCAGGACTTCTGTGAATGACTGAGAAAGTGAGCCAGGCTCGCTGTGAGGGTGGGGGAACAGAAGGTGGGGTCTTGGCCACCTCACCTGTCACTTGACAGGTGAGTCCCACACATCTGAGCTGTCAGAGAATGTGGCAAGAGCTAGCCCCACCCACCATTCATGCCCCTTCTTCTCATGCCCCCAATGCCTATAGGCTGCCAACATCACGGACTCTGGCCCATGAGTGGCCTGCCCATTCTTGATAGACTTCCTGTCCACCCACAGAACCACGGCCCATGAGACCCAGACTCCCATGTTCCCAGTTAACCACGGTGCTGCCATCTAAAGCAGGTTTCTGGAGAAAGGAGCAGGGAGGCATCCCTTACCTGCCTCCTGGCCCCAGCCACAGAGAGCAGGTCCAGGATAAAATGGGTCTGCTGGTTGGAACTGGTTCCAGAAACAACCCTCCCTCCCTCCCTCCCTCCCTCCCTCCCTCCCTCCCTCCCTCCCTTCCTTCCTTCCTTCCTTCCTTCCTTCCTTCCTTCCTTCCTTCCTTCCTTCCTTCCTTCTCTTCCTCCCCATGCCCAGCAGTACATAGGACTTACTCCTGACTATGCTCAGGGATCACTCCTGGAAGTGTTCTGGGAACCATACGCAGAGTTATGGATCAATCCTATGTCAGTGTGCGCTCAAAGCAAGTGCCCTATCCATTATACTATCCCCCTGGCCCAGCAAAGGTCTTTTTTTACTTTTCTTTCACTTTTTTTCTCCTGCGGTGGACCCCTGGAGTCTGCCAAAGGAAGAGAGGAGCAAAACCCAGGGCCATCTTGTTTGGCCAGGGCATAGTGACATGGAACAATGGGGACTCAATGATCAGGGCGAATTGTTTTCTTCTTGGCTACATTTCCCCCATGTCATGCAGGTTGCATACAACAAACGTGTGCTACTTCTAGACTTCATAAGGAAAAATGGCTTTTCCTCCTCAGCAAGAATGCTCTGTTCTCATTCTCGTAAACTTATCGGTCCCCATTTATTCTTGGCTGCTGTGAAGCAGAGGTGACCTTCCCCCTGATGGCCCCTGGACAGCACCTCCAGTCACAATTTGGTGTCCAGTGAGGTTTCAGTAGGTTGCACCTCAGTAAGGAGACGGTCACAAACACAACCTTAGGGTGAGGGTGAGGGAGAAGGGGGAGAACAGGATGTCTTGTACTTTGTGGATGTACTTTCTTTTGTTTGATTTTGGGAGAGGGGTTTCTGGGCAGCACCCAGTGATATTCGGGTTCCTCCTGGCTCTTCACTCAGGAATCACTCCTGGCAGGGCTCAGGAGACCATTTGGGATGCCAGAGATCAAACTTGTACTATTGCTCTGGCCCTGTGAATGCATTTTCTTCTATTTTTTGCATGTACTTTGTACCTGTGTTTCTCAGTTGTATATTTTTTTTCTGCACTGACCAAA